GCATTGGAGGCACAAATTAGTGGCATTGAGAGGCAATATAAAGTGCCGCCGCAAACCATAAGTGAAGAACTGAAATATGATTTGGTTGAAGCAGTGTATGAGTGGGCCAACGGAAAGGTACGCTTTTTGATGGGCTTTTACTTGATTTACAATTATTGTGTAATTGTTTGTTTTGGTTATGTTTCAGTCATTTGCAGAAGTGTTGGACATAACTCCAGTTCAGGAGGGAATCATTGTTCGCTGTATTCAAAGACTGGACGAACTTCTAAAGTACATAAAAATGGCGGCCAATAAGATGGGCAACAAAGAGCTCGAAGAGAAGGTTGAGTTGTCTTCTAAAGCTATTCGAAGAGATATAGTCTTTTGCCAAAGTCTTTATACATTAACTGATTCTCAATCAAGTGATGAGAAAAATAACGACATGTTTGATGAATATCTTAATTCAAATTATTTATAAATTATGGATTAAATTATTGAAATCATTGTAACAACGATTTATAGACTTTTAAATTGATGACAACATTTTTAATGTTTTATATTTACTTTATTACTTATGCATTGGAATCATATTTGTATGAAATATAAAATCATGATATATTGAATTGTTTTATTTTATAAAAGTAGTTAAATGTAATAATTGTTTTCCTATTTCTATAATAATAATTATAATATTTACGGAATGTATAGCTCAAAGTCCATTGAAACTAAAAAACATATCCTTTATTTTAAGACTATTATGTATTTTTATATCAAAATTAATATATTTCAGTCTATTATGATATATAATTAGATCAAAAATATATTTATGGACACAAGTTGTTATATTATACGATTTTTAAGTAAATAAAATGTTTATTAAAGAAATTGTATGAATTTAGTTATAAAGTGAAATGTTATCATATTTTGTCTTATCTTTTATAAATTATAACCATTGACTACAATATCGTTAATAGCTTTTACTCTATTGAAGCAAAAACCTAATATTTAGTTAATGTAAAGAAATGCATTTGAAGTGAATGTGTAGTTATTTCTTACTACTATTAGTTTGTTATCTCAATAATTGTGTTAATTTGTCTTGAATTATAAATTAAATTGAATTTTATATAAGTTATAAAGTGAGAGAATAACACTAACGATGTCGAGTTTAGTTAAACTGGTGCCTGTGGTCAGTCATTTATTTATTCATTAACATATCCTATTGTCTATTAATTTATCATTTTCATTTTTCCCAACAGAATCGGCTTAAATACTTGAGTTTGTATTCAATACTATACTTGACGTCATTTAAATATTATTAATGTTGATTTAATTTTAGCAAAAATCAATTTTGTCCAAATTGATGACTTTGTATTTCGATTACACTATAGATTCACATTTATTGGTCTTCTTGTCTGCAGGTTTTACATTAATTTTATATATTTAATAATTATAAATTATTTTGTAACAAGCAAGTAACATACAACATAAATTTATTGTGTGTGTTAATAACGTGAGGATAGTTTGCATACATTAATCATTATAAGTCTTAATTAAAAATCTTAATAATACATAAGAAATAATTCTCTGAATGATTTCAAAAAATAATTATAATTTATTACTTCATACAATAGTTTAATAATGCAATAACTAAAGAAAGTATTAACCAGCTAGTTTATGTTTAAAAATAATAGTCATTTCAAAATTACATACAACTAAACTTATAACATTTTACGTGTTTAGCGTTTTATTGACTGCCGAACAACTGTTTGGAAAACCTATTAAATGTATAAAAGGTATGAATTATTTTCATTATATTTTGATAAAACTTGAGATTTAATAGATTTAAATATACAAAATATTATATCACAAGTGGACAACTCTATTGTTAGTTTCCAAATAAACAAATTACTAGAACCACAAAATGATCAAATGAACGAGAATTTGAATTTAATGAATAAGAATTTCGAAATATTATTTAAACAATTAATTCAATGGTTTATTCTTGAATGTTAGGCGCGGGAGAAGATGTTAATCAAAGAATTCTTGAGACTTTTTGTTGGGTGAGTATGAACAACATACTAATGTGACTGTTATGACATGATTGAATTGATTAGGTTGAAGGCACTTTTACTCTTCCTAAAGCCCTAATTAAAGGTACAGTTGAATAAATGTGCAAAATATGAATTAATGAATATTGAATTTCTAATTGGTAGCAATTGATAAAGAAGTTCCGGCTCCGGGTATCGAACAATTCTATGAAAAGGATGAAGTTCTCGAACATTCTTACTATCAATGGGTTAACTCATATTTAAAAGATAATATTTTACAAATATTTACAAATATTTACAAATATTTATATTATTTAATTGTTAGGTTTGTGTTGTTTTATTCCTTCAATCGGTCTGTTTTTATATAACAAGAGCCCTTTGGAAGGGATGGGAAAGAGGTTTGCCATTTTAGAAACCAAATTGATTTTAACTCATTGAGTATTTTAGGAAAAATCAAACATTTAATAAATGACTTAAACAAAGTGATCCTTAAAGAAGAGGCAAAAATTAGTAAATGTGATACTTTGGTCACTCAATTGGTTGACAGTCAGGGCAAGAATAATGCCTACGCTTTTCGCTATTTTATTTGCGAAGTCCTCAACTTTTTTAATGTCATAATACAAATGGAAAGTCATTAAAATAATCATTTAATGCATTAAAAGCAGTATTACTTCATTTATTATATGTATTTTTAAACAGATTTTCATCAATTGGTTTCTTGGAGGAGAGTTTTCAAGATATGGAATAAATGTATTCAATTATATTGACCGAGATCCAAATCAATCAGAAGATCCGATGGCCAGAGTTTTTCCAAAACTAACCAAGTGCACATTCAGACAATATGGCCCTTCTGGTGATATTAAACGGTAATACAACGGTGTAGTGACTACACTGTATACAATATAATATATTATATCATATTTGGTACATAAGATATATTAATACAGTATAATCTATAGATTAATCTAATTAATCTATATATAATATAAATATGATTATATATTAACATTAAAATTTAAGTAAATAATATAAAAATATATGAACAAATTAACCACAACTCTCAATAATATTGTCTTAACGCGGTGCGTAAATTAATTTTATATATATAATTTATTTCAAACATTGTTATATATGTAATGAAAGTAAATGCAAATTTGATTATCTATTTAATAATTAGTTTCGATAATCTGTGTCTTCTTCCACAAAATGTTCTCAACGAAAAGGTTTATATAATTCTTTGGTT